CACCACATCAGGGAGGGAGAAAATGTGCTGTGGACACTTGTGATCTGGAAGAAGCAGTCAGTCCTCAGACCAGCTATTTTAAGTCTGAAGATAAGGGAAGGCAGAAAATACACAGGCTTGCAAAGCAAAGACAATATGTCAGCATTACAAGGTAGCAACTTGAATGATATCCAAAGCGGGACAGGGAGAGACAGAGCATACATGCATAGAAAAAAAAAAAACAAAAATAAAATAGTGTTACAAGGGGGAAATAAAATAATTAAAAAAAGGCAAAAATTAGTGGCTCTTTACACAACTGCATGATTGGAACAAAATAAATAAAACAATGATAGAGATAGAAGTTAATGGGTATGATCTTATAGCCATGGTGGAGATTATGGTCACAAGGAGATCAAAAGCTCAGAACTATACATTCATGGGTATGTGTTTTTGCAAATAACAGACAGGAAGGAAAGACTGACAAGACCATGAGACATAGGACAAGTGGGTCATTAGGGCCATCAAATCGGCTCCTTTGATTTGATCAGATCATGGCTGATCCAATCATTGGCTTACAATGCAGCAAACAGTAAGGAGTATGTTTTTACCCCTTCCAATGTATTGCAATCCTCAACTTTGCTGGTTAACCATGGTTGGTTTATCTTCCTCCTGGAATCCTTCTTTCTCATTGGGAGAAATCTTTGTTGAGAGTGAATCATTTTCTTCTGCCATCCTCAACCTTCTTTGAGGAAATTCCTTTCCTAGTCCACCCCAGTCAGCTCTTCCATCGTTACTTTGTAATTACCCTGAGGTTAGCATAGTTATTTTTGACCCAAGTTTCTCACTCAAACTGAATGCTAAATCCTACCTTGTTTTGATCACTGAGGGAATCTTTGGCTCAGGTTATTTATTAAACCTGCCTCATTACCAGATCCAAACAACCTAATTACCAGTTTGATTCACAATAGGACAGTTTCCTGAAACAAAATATACTGATTTTTCTTGTGGCTACCTTTGCCGATTTGACATTCCCAATCTGTGCGAAGATCAAATCATTTACATTGTTAATCATGGGTGATCAATATTTACATGCTCCCATTCTGATCGTATTTATTCCATTCCACCATATAGCTACTGTTAAGGGACTCCGAGTACTCAGTGTCTCTTGACCTTATTATTGCTTACCTCCACTCAGATTCTACATAGTCCAATCCAGAAATCATTCCTTCCTGTCGTGTTTTTCCCCATCTTGAACTAATAAAGCTACACAAGTCAAAAAAAAAAGTAGTGATGTACTCCTAAAACTAAGGCAGTTCAAAGAAGATTACTAGTTTGACCCCAAGTATGGAGGGATTGCCTTACAAGGACAGGTTGAGTTGGTTTGTACTCAGTTCAGAAGAATGAGAATTATCAGATCAGCCATGATCTTGTTGTATGGTGGAGCAGACTTGATGGGCCGAATGGCCTACTTCTGCTTCTACATGTGATGGATCTGTTTAATCGGTACTAACAGCTACTAGACAGTCAGAGCACAGAAACAGACCCTTCGGTCCAACTCATCTATGCTGACCAACTATCCTAAAATTTATCTCGTCCCGTTTACCAGCATTTGGCCCATATCCCTCTGAACTCTTTCTATTCATGTACCCATTCAGATGCCTTTTGAATGTTGTAATTGTAGCCACTTTCACCATCTCTTCCGGCAGCTCATTCCACCCTCTGCGTGAAAAAGTTACGACTCTAGTCCCTTTTTAAATCTTTCCCTTCTCAACTTAAATCTAGTTTTGAGCTCCCCTACCCTGGCCTTGACTATTCACCCTATCCATGCCCCTCACAATTTTATAAATCTCTAAAAAAGGTCACCCCTCAGCAGTTGACATTCCAGGGAAAATAGCTTAGTCTATTCACCTCTCCCTTTAGCTCAAACTCTCCAACCCTGGCAACATCCTTGCAAATCTTTTCTGAACCCTCAAGTTTATCACTGTTGGTTTTTTTTTGAAGTCTGTGCTCCATCCTGATCCAATATCTCACTAATGACTAAAACGACGTAGGAAGATAAATCAAAATCTGTGTAGTATCCGATTGTTATGAAAGGTTTAGTTGACTAAAGCTTTAGAAATGTGTTAAGAAAAATCAAAGTTTGCATATAAATCCATACATTCTTGCATCTTCAGCAGTCCAGCAGGATGAAAATAAAAACAAGGACTACCACATTTTGCAACATCAAGCAACCAATATAGACTCTCTCTAACTATAGTAAAAAGTGTCCAGTTGATGGGAAACTGCAGTTACTGTACATTAAGTGTATCACAGCAACCGTTAGGAAACTCACTTCAGTGAGTGCAAATGGGAATTTTATGGCTTTAATACAAATATTGCTCATTAAATCAAACCAAGTATGCACTTTTCATGTTTGCACATCGGATTTCAGAATCAGGAAAGTGAAAAAAATAGCTCTCTCTCCCTCTTAATGGGGAGATGTTTTCTCTGGGTCATTGGCCTGTGGCCAATTACCCATTTATTCATCCAACAACACATAGGTAAGGAGCAGCACTCTGGTGATCATCTTCACTGTACAAGTCCTAAAGATCAGAAGCCCATTGAAGAACTAATGCATCAGATAGCACAGCTCAAGTACTTTCGTCTAGAGTTAGAAACCGGTTTACAAGTGATTTAGTGGAACACCGTCCCCAGATATTTTGCAAACTCAGCACTGTACCAAACTAAATTTGGAATCTGACATGCTCCATTATTCACTCCAAGTTCTATTAAATATTTAATTTACTCACTGACCTAGGCAACACACAACACGAGTTGCAAAGAGCTCTTCTCAGCTAATAGGTCATATACTCAGGAGCCACAATCTAGAACCACTAGCCACATTCTTTTGGAGTTACTCTGTCACTAGAGGAAGCAGTTCAGCACCCCATACCATCCTTGGAAGCTGCACCATCATTCAAACGAGATCATGGTCAGTGACTGAATTGCTTGCCTCCCTTGATTTCATAGCCCTTAATCTCTCTGGTTGACAGAAATTGCTTAATCTTGGGTTTAAAAAATAACAACTGATCTAGTATCAATTGCTACTTGGAGAGTTCTAAACTATTAACTCCTTTTGTGTTTAGGACCGTTTCCCATTTCACTTCTGAAGAGTCCAGCTCCAATTGAAGGGTCCTGTTTCTGTACTGTATAAACTCGAACACCATAATCTTTAGAACTTGCCCCCAGGCCTAGAAATTGTTTCTCTCCAGCTACCGCATTTTTTTCTCCTTAATATATTGAATAATTTGATCAAAATACCTTTCAAGCTTAATTCCAGAGAGATACAGAATGTTTAATCTCTCTCTTTTTAGATTAACACTTAAAGTCCAGGTTTCATTATTGAAAATCTACACTGTACTTCCTGAGGACAATACGTCTTCCCCAAGTGTATAGCACCCAGAACTAGAATTTGTGACACTTTACTGTGTGGTGGCAACTTTGGTTCAGTTGGCAGTACTGTCACCTCAATCGCGAGGTTCCTACTCCAGGACTAGAGCACAGAATAATCAGGCTAGCACTCTAGTGCAGTACTGAAGGAGTGCCATATTACAGTGGAACCTTTTGGCCAAGATATTAAATGGACGTTCTATCTTTCCTCTCAGGAGAGTGTAGAAAATTATCCCATTGTGAAGTTAAAGAGGTGCCAGTGTTGGACAGGGGTGGATAAGGTCAGAAAACAAAAACCAAAGAAAAACATACAAAAAAAATGCATTTTCTACATTACAACAGTGACAATGTCAGAAGTACTTTATTGGCTTTAGAGCCCTTTACGATGTGTGATGGTTGAGAGAAGGTTTATTCAAACAGGAGTGTCTTTTTTAGCAGAGAAAATATCATAAAGGGTTGGGAGAGGAGAGGAAAATCAAAACCTGTCACTTTTACAAAATAATTGTAAAATGTTTGACATTTATGGGGAGGAGAGACATACAATGGCGAAATAAAAAGGGAAGTACTGGAAATCTTAAATTAAAACAGAAGAAATTGCTGGAGAAACTCAGCAAGTGTGGAAGCATCTGAGGAGAGAGAAAAATAGAGAGTTGACTCAGAGTCCAGTAAGACTCTTCAGAAGACTGAATCTACAAGGATCCAGAGATAGAAAGACAGTTGTAGAAATATTGGTATTTTCATTCACATGGACAAAAAAAAACAAGAAACAGAACATAAGGGTATCCTATTTACATCGGATCAACTGAGATTGTTATCTATCGTCTCCAAATCTCAATCATGAATGAACATTTTTCAATTCTACACCTGCAATCTCATCACTCAGTAGGTAGTTACAAGATGATTGACAGTTTGAGATCAGTATCTGGGAACAAAGCATGCTCAGCCCTATTCCGAGAGAGCCACAGTCAACAGCTGATGTCATCTCAAGCAACTATCTGAGCGGAGACACTGAACATCCCCAGGTAAAAGGCAACGCTTTAATTAGACTGCTCTCTTGACAGATCAGTGATGTTTGTCTTATGTTTGATGACACAAACAGAGAGGGAAGTATTTCTCTTCCTATAGAGAATTCTCCCCATTAAAACAACCAAAGCAAAATTGTGTGACAGGGTCACGCTTTAATGTCATGGTCAAATCTGAAAAGGTTGATAGACGAACATGGGTACTCAAGGACGTCAAAGAAAAAGCAGCTGACCACCCTCTTCCCCTGGATTTCATTACCAACTATAATCTGAACATTTCGACTGCAATAATTAGCACTGCAGCATTTATTTTGAAGATACTTAATTGTTTAAAAAGTTGTCATGGAGTTCCGATTAAACTGTACAACCTACACCTGCTGAGGGTTCCTCAGATATTTCCTGCACCTCCAGGACATGAACTTAAAGTTGGTCATGCCGCTGACTAGAAAAAAAAAGGTTGAATGTCATTCCATCTTTGAGATAGAATATTGGGAAACAGTCTTTCTGTACAGAACAGGCAACTAACTAGACTGCTCCATGCCAGTGTATCGGATTATGTAGAGTACTTACCTGACTTACATTGTGCCCAAACGCAGTCTGTTAGGTTCAGAGAAGTATCACCAGTGATACAACTTTCACATGTCTCCAACTGCGTACATTCTAAAAGAGAAACAAAAAAAAAAAAAACACCTTTAAAGTCAAATGCAGTTATTTGAAAAAAGTTATTAATAATGTTCAGCCCTTTCAGGGCATTAAAAGCCCTTTTACTGTCCTATGTAAATTGATCACACTTTGCATGACAATAACAGTTTGCCCATTTATCACAGGTTAGTTTAAATTAGTGATAAATATCAACTCCAGTAGGTGAATTATTGCAGACTGACTCAAACTCAGGGTCAGTAAAAATCATACTGGCTGACAAACCACATACCATAAACACAACGTAAAATCATTAAAAGTAAAATTTGCTGCTGACTTCAATCCTTGATCTCCTGCCCTTGCTCCAATGAAGAGGTACACAAGGAACAGAACTTCATTTTCTGGCACTTAACAGCCTTCCAAACACTTTCAGATCTTAGCTCAATCCCCATCAGTGCAACCCCTACTGGCGGGGGGGAAAATCACTATCATTTACAGTTCCTCTAGACCCATTGTTTCCTATTGGTCTCATTAGAATCAAACATAGTATAGAAGAGGCCCTTTGGCACATTGAGTCTGCACCAAAAATGAATCACTACACTAGTCCCACTTCCCCACATTAGGCCTATGAACTTGAATGTTATGACTCTTCAAGTGCTCATCTAAGTACTTTTTAAGGTGGTTTGAGGCTTCCCACCTCAACTACTCTCCCAGACAATGCAGTTCAGACCCATACCACTTTCAGGTGAAAAATCTTTTTCATCAAACCTCCTGCCTTTCACTCAAAACATGCTCCCTTGTTCTTGACCCTTTGACTAAGGGCAACAGCTGCTTTCTACTCATCATTGCACAACACTATTATTTCTTTAATAATTCAACTTCTTCTGCCTCCACCCAGTCTCCCTGTAGCTCTGCAAATTTTTCAGATAATAAAGCAATTCCCTTTTGAATGTCTTGATTGAAACTTCAGCACCACAGAACTTGGTGCTTTCAGTTCACCTTCATTTTCAACACTTCACTGTTGATCTTCTGTAAACCTAAAGTATTTTCTGTTTTAAAATTTTGCTGTTAAGTTATTTAAGCCCTACCTGCTTGCTGCCTTAAGGTAATGTCAATCCTGGGACACTAAAACTACTGACTTAATATACTATTACCTAAACTTCTTTTTACCCATCTCCCAACTTTTGAACCATTAGAAGCAGCTTCATATCTTTCTGCTTTGAGGGGTTTAATTAAAAAAACCCTCTGCCACAATATGGCTTATAGCCCAGCTATGATTTTTTAAAAAAAATCCTGTCTCTTAGCACCTGCGAGAGAATGAGGTCACATCAGGATGAGTCTTCTGTTCTGTGGTGAGTGAGCAATTTCAGCATCACCAGATTGTTACCAACAGTAAGTTTCAAATGACTGAACTAAGCTCCTGTGGATGGGCTCTGCAGTTTCACAGCCCATCATGCTACAAGCTAAAATAACAACATGTTCAATCTAAAAGAAAAACAAAATCACTAGTAAAATTGGACTCGCTGCAAAGGGGTTAGTCACAGGATTCCTGCACGTTGGGAATTTTGCTATTCAAATTTATAGCATAACTAGATGCTTCTAGAATAAGCATGAAAGCAGTTATAATGTGAAATGGAATATTGCAGTGCTGCCAACAATACAGGGCAGATTTTCCTCTTAGAATTCAGGACCCTGATATCAGGATGAAACAAGGATCAGAGGCCCACACTGCAGAGGGAATGGTCGATAAAAAATTATTTTCTCCAAATTGGAGGGTGATAGGCCGGAGGGTGAACAAATGCATCATTAAAGCCAACGGGAGCCTCCAACACATTGCTGGTAAGCAGGAAAGTTAAAAGCATTGCCTTTCCGCACTGTCCCCCCCATCCCCACCTTGTCTAACATTGACTATGGGCTCTCTCTCTTCTCTTCCTCCCCACCAAACAATCCCACTTTCAGGAGGGCAGCCCAGCATGAAAGGATAATGCCCAGAGACAGCACAATCACCAGAGGGGCAGATAAAGACAGTTAGATTCGATTCCGTATGACTCTTCCTCAAAACGTTTAATGTTTCTCTCTCTCTCTCTCTCTCTCTCTCTCTCTCTCTCCCTCCTCACAGATGCTGCTAGACTTGCTGGGCATCTCCAGCACTTCATTTTTTTTTACTGAAGATGTCATTTTGTTTTTATTTGTTCAAGAAACGTAGGCGTCTTTGGCTAGGCCAGCGTTTATTACTCATCCCCAAATTCCCCTCAAGAATCTGGTGGTGAACCACCACAGGCTGTAGGTACACCCACAGTGCCATTAAAATGGAGTAGTTCCAGGATTATGACTCAGTGACATTCAGAACACTACTTAGGAGTGAGAAACTCACCTAGTTGTGTTAAGGATCTCATCCTGCATTACCCAAAACAAAAACAAAACAAAAAAAACTGACCACTCACCTCAATAGTGGTCAAAAAAAAAACCAAATGACTACACCTTAACCAGACAGAAATATTGGACTAACCAATTTGTAACGATAGCCGTACATTCAGGGTGTACAATAGAAAATGATAACATTTGCTCCTTTATAGTCAGTAGGACAGTGAGCTTTGAAGGGAAATTAATTGAACTGAGCAATGTGTGGCATTGACCAGCTGAATAGACTAAATGGACTTAGGCAGGTTTTTAAGATAGAAATCACTTGGATGTACAGCACAGAAACAGACCCTTCGGGCCAACTCGTCCACACTGACCAGATACCCTAAATTAATCTAGTCCTATTTGCCAGCATTTGGCCCATATCCCTCTAAACAAGTGTGTGACACTGGTTCAAATCAGCGTCATCTTACTGAAATCAATGCCCCTTTAATGGTATCAGTTAGATGACCAAACAAATGGTCCAATTAAACCAAAGGTGATTAAAATAAAAAAAAATAAACTGACTCAATGAATAGAATGCTTTTGCAGATTAGAATCTTTAGGTTTAAAAATCACGCAACCATGTAATCTAGGTTGAACTTCAGGGCAGTACTGAAGGAGTGACAATTCAGATGAGACTTATAATGTCTATGCATCAACGCAAGAGATCCCATAGCACTGAGGAAAAGGAGGGACTCTCCCTGGTGTTGTAACCAACAGGTAATCCCTCAATTGACACTATCGAAGCAGATTAACTTTTTTTTAATATAATTTTTTATTAAATAGTCCACTCAAAGCAAACATGAACCTTATTTGAGATGCTGTGGCTTCATTTTCTATAATGCTGGCAAAGCGGGCAAGATCATGACATTGCATAACTTCCTTTTAGTTATGTGTGCTGTCATTAATACATTATAGTGAGGCTTAACTCCTTATGGTACGATTGTCTGTGGGGGTTTCCGGTATAGAAATCCCATTTTTTCCTCCACATTACAGTAGTGTCTGCCCGCCAAAACATTTCATTGGCAGTAAAGCCCTTCAGGGCACCCTGAGTTGAAGGGTGCCATGTAAACAAGTCTCTCTGTAAAGCAACAGGAAGTCGATATGTTATTACTGTTGCCTCTGCAACAATCTATTTTATAGTGCCCATCTTTCACTGAAACAAACACTTACCTGCCACTGACATTAGGTTAAAATTGAGATGTTCAAATAGCAGAAAAAAAGTGTCACATTTCCTCTCAAAGTTCAACAGGTCTAGATCACCTATACCCTCCTTCACTGCTATGTTTTACCAACATTATGAAAAGGTTCTTTTCATTGTTTTGGCAACTTTGTTGATTTATTCAAACCCAATAAAGGTAAGAGGTCAAAATTCCAACCTTTTAGTTGTCCAAAATGAACTGAAAGCAACAGCATTGGCACCAGCCCTAAATCTAAAAGTAAAGAATGAAATACAAGATCTTTAATGCATCCTGGTGGCTTCATGTAGATAAAGGAAGGGATTTCATCTGTTAGCTCAACTCACCCTTCTGAACAATTCTCATTTTTTACTGCTCAAAAGACATTCCACGACCTCAAATCAACATGGTTGGACAAAATGAGTTTCAGAAAGTCAGTCACATGCATAGCTTTTCCTGCTTTGTAAAACAAAAAGTGAAGCAAGTAATGAGCTTCTTTATTCAGTAGCTGAATCCTACTGGATCCAGCTTCTTTATTCAGTATCTGATGGATTCCGATTGACTTTTGGAAATCTTCACTCAGGAATCTGTGTTGTTCACTCAGAGCATATTCAATTAAAGAGGTTGATAGGATGTTGGTTATTAAGAAAACAATAAGATGGGGCGGGGGGGGCAGAGTTAGTGTGAAGGGAAGACAGCGAGACATTTCTGTCATTCTTTAATCCAAACAAAAAAGGGCTTGAAGCACTGGAGATCTAAGTGTTAGAAACCGTATTCTACCCAATGTGCCAGATTCCAAGCTTTTGCAGAAACATCTTGTACAGTTGACAACTCAGTGAGAGGAAAACTTTGACTATGGTGGGGGTGGGGAAGCGAATAATCATCAACTCAGTGAAGATTAGTAAGCACCAATATTACTGTAATTTGCAATGTATACATAAATTTTGCCCAGAAACAAATTTCAAAGTTTTAAAATTTACATCAGATTTGAGTATTGCAACGTGGAGGGGCTGCTTTGGCATTAAGTTTCTTTCAGGTTGGTATAAAAAAAAAGTCAGCAGAAGGCCAGCATTGTCTTTTTTATTAAAGAAAGATATTCATTCACTTTGCGTTGTTTACTTGTACACCTTACCGACAGCGGTAATTATCAGAGTAAATACTAGCAGGCTGCTTGGTTATTTAATTGGCATGAATATTAAATATTCAAAACTGCCAGGCAGCAAAGTGACATTACCTTAACACTGTGAGGCAGTACCAGCAAAACAATGGAAAATTCCACCTTCTTGATGCATTTCAAATCTCTCCCAGAGAGGATTTAAACTGTAGTCAAACTGCACCGGCGTTATTGAAACTGCAATTGGACACTTACAATCAAACTACTGGTAACTAGGTACTTGTACACGCTGGAATAATTTATAACAAAAATAAATACCCGTGTCACTCAATAACGCTCATCGCTCTCATTCACCTCAAACTGCCCTAGTTAGCAGAGAAACGCACAACCAGCTCTACTCAAGAACTTCGCCAACCTCACGGGTCTATTTAGCTATTTTGTAATAACATAAAAATCCACGTTAGCACCTCCTGCATCGTCAGCTGGAGGACCCACCTCCGCCCACAGAGTCTGTACCTGCTGTCTGCCCCTCACAAACTCCAGAGAGTAGCACCAACAGCGAAACTCGCACCGCAATCTCTGCCCACTTCATCTTCTGAAACCCGAGCGGGGAACCGCGCCTGCAAACAACAGGGACAGGGGTTGGGGCTGGGGGGGGGAATTTTTTTTTGAAAAGGAAAAAGTTATAAACAAGGGGGGGGGGGGGGGGGAAGAAGAAAAAAAGGGGAGCAGGATAAGAAAAGGCTGTGAAGTTTTGTCTGACCCCCAGCGAAGCAACGAGCTGCGATACTGCAGGAAATTCACCGGGAGACCACGTGAGTGAAATGTATCCAAGCGCCTGTAACAAGTTATTAAAGGACCAGGTCACATGACCGCCCCTCATCACATTTCACGAAGTGATGCCAGTCTCTGTTTACCTGACAACCAGCACCCTAGAGACTCTGCCTACAGTCTTTCCTTAAATATATATGTCCATAATCCGGTGTCACACTGGAAGGAAAAGACATGGTGAAGACACCTATTATAAAATAGAAACAAAAATACCCCCAGAAATTGCTGGTAAACCTTGTTTTCCGGCAATTATTGCTTTTCTCTCTGATTTACAGCATCCACAGATCTTTCAGTTTTTTATTATAAAATAGAGGCCCACGCAGACAGCTTAACCAAACCCTTTCTTACAACAAGCGTTCCATCTCCGCCCCCCCCCAACCTCCAGCTCCACTTTGTCATGTAAAGCTTATGATTGATGCAGTGCCATTGAGTTTATTGCAACCAGGGCGATGAATTAATCTGATTGCCAAGTGCTAGCAATTGTGGAATTACACCACTGGAAGCTGATGCAATTAAGACAAATGGGTTAAGTGGAGGATCTCTCCCAGAATATCACATCCGCTCAGGTTAGTGCATTGCAGAGCACTCGCCAGTAATTCTTGGGGTTCTGATTGAATTTCGCGGTGGTGGTGCCCCTAACTCTGAGCCAAGAGGTCTGGGTTCAAGTCCTACCTGCTCCAGAGGGTGTATCATCATATCTCCGAACGGGTTGGTTAGGAAATATTTGAATGTAGCCTCTTGGCTTGAGGTAAATCAGAAACAGAAATTGTTTGTGAAACTCAGCAGGTCTGGCAGGATCTGTGGAGACAATCAGAGTTAAAATTTCGGGTCCAGCGACCCTTTCTCAGAACCCTCAGAACTTGGAACCCAGTTCTGAGGAAGGGTCACTCAACCTGAAGCATTAACTCTGATTTTTCTCCACAGATGCTGCCAGACCTGCTGAGCTTTTCCAGCTATTTCTGTTTTTGTTCAAGATTTCATTCTCTGGAGTACCTCTGGGGTAGAGAATTCCAAAGATCCATCAGCTCCTGAGGGAAGAAACGTTAAGTTTGTTTTCTCTCCATAGATGTTGCCAGACCTGCTGAGTTTTTCCAGCATTTTCTTTTTTTTTCCGTTTTCCAGCATCCACAGCTCATTGTTTTATTTCATGGCTTGAAGCACCCTTGTACAAGCTTGTGGTTTCTTGGAATTGGGCATATTATCTGGACTCTTTGGGTATGAGATCCAAGGTGTAGCAAGATATTCTCAAATATATCATTTGATACCAAATTCTGTTGACATATCAAACAGACTTGTTCATATTTTTATGCTTTATCTTATGTGCTTTTGTATTTGTGGAGTGGTTTTCAATACTGCTGAAACAAGCTGGAAAAATGAGATGTGCACACAATCTTTCATTAAATGTGTTCCAGAAGATCATTTTTTTAAAGATGACGTGAGTAATTCAATGAATTCTGTGCCCAAATAAATCTCCCACAAGTTTGAGTGAAGTTGTGCAATGCAGTATGAAAGCGGCTTCATAATTTCTCTGAATAGCTATTCGTCAGAAACAAGCACAGTCACATATAGATAGCCATTATTATAGGTAGGCAGAATGTGGACAGCAATGGCAAAGTTAGCATTTATTGTCTATCCTTTATTGCCCATGAGAAGCTGGTAGTGAGCTGCCATCTGAAATATACCTGAGGAGCTTGTTGGGTCATTTTAGAATGCTGTCAGCCACTTTACAGTCAGTCCGAATTTGCACATACAGCAGACCAGTCAATTACGGTAGATTTATTTTTGTTGTTCAGGAAACAAATAGGTTTTTATTACAAACTGGTAGTTTCATGGTTACCATTATTGCGAACAGATGGAGGCTATTCAGCCCATCAAATCTGCTCCACCATTCAATTAGATTATGGCTGATCATCTACCTCAAAACCACAGAACTGCATTATCTCCATATCCTTTAATGTCACCAGTCTCCAGAAACCTATTTATTTCTGTCTTGAACCTAATCAATGTTCGAGCCCCCACAGCCCTCTGCAGTCGAGAATTCTAAAGAATCATCACCCTCTGAATGAAGAAATTCCTCCTTATCTTGTCTTAAATGGCTGACCTCTTATTCTGAGGTTATGTTCTTTGGTTTTAGATTTACCAGCCAAGGGAAACATCCTATATACATCCATCCTGACACTTCCTGCAAGAATATTGTACATTTTAAAGATCCTAACTTTTTATTCCAGATATAAATAATTGAAATTAAATTCTCCAACTGCTGTGGCAGATTTGAACTTACATGTGCAGTTTATTAGCCCAGGCCTCTCCATCCAGTAATCCAGATGATTCATCCAGTAACTTAATTCGTGGGACATGGGCACTCCTGGTTGGGCAAGCATTTATTGCCCATCCCTAGTTGCTCTTGAGAAGATGGTGGTGAGCTGCCTTCTTGCACCACTGCAGTCTATTTGGTGTAGTTAGACCTACAATGCTGTTAGGGAAGGAATTCTAAGACTTTCCTTAAGTGACACCAAATGAATGGAGATATATTTCCAAGTCAGGATGGCCAGTAGTTTGGAGGGGGTGGTGTTCCCATATCTGCCGCTCTTGTCCTTCTGATGGTAGTGGATGTGGATTTGGAAGGTGTTACCTAAGAACCTTTGGTGAATTTGAGCAGTGAAACTGTAGATGGCACACACTGCTGCTACAATGTTTTGATGGTAGAGGGAGTGAATGATAAAGGTAGTAGATGTGGTCCCAATCGAGTGGGCTACTTTGTCCAGCTTCTTTAGTGTTGTTGGAGCTGCGCCCATTGAGAAAGTAGGGAGTATTCCATCACACTCCTGATTTGAACCTTGTAAATGATGGACAGGCTTTGGGGAGTCGTGAGGGGAGTTACTTCCTACAGGGTTCCAAATCTCTGACCTGCTCTTATAGCTACCATATTTATATGGCTGATCCGATCTGGTTACAGTACATAGGGATTTTTCAAGATAACTAAAGTGTACCTTAACTGCACAGTAATTAGAGGTGATATCAATTTGTGTGTTAGTTCTGTGGTGAGCTAGGTGATCACAACTCAACTTGCAGTAGGAATGTTATAAGTTTGGTAAGATTCCTGAGCTAGGAAAGGAAAAGACATTCAAACAGCAGCTTGGGGAATAGCACCTTAACCTGCAGTTAGGCACTTTACAAGCCTCAGGACTCAACATTAAGTTCAATAACTTCTGACCATAAACTCTGTCCACCATTTTGATTCTTTATTTCCCAATGTTCCAATTTAAATCATGCTTTTCATCCTTTTACCTCTGGACAGAATTATCTATCATTCTGCAATTTATACAGGGTTCCAATTCATGAATGTCCAACTTATGGATATGATCTCATACAGGGTATAATACGGGGCTGTAATGCAGGGGTGTAATATAGGAGAATAAAAACCTGACATATGAATGTTTCCTGCACTTAGAAATGGCTGCTTTACATTGTCCTGCATTGTGTTCCAACTTCTGCACAAATCCACTTGGGAGCATTCTCCAAACCGGAAACCTTTTGCAACCCAGGGACTGCCTGTGCTGTTTCTCTGGACAAAGACTTGGTTTCTTTATCGCAACCGCTGCTTTTTTCTTTTTTCTATGGTATCATTAACATTTGATCTTTCTTAGCCTCTATTCCTTCCTAGACCTTCCGTTGTGTTCTTCCTTCTCCTCCTGACTTTCAAATGCACAAAATGCATCATGTTTCTACCTTGTTTCAGTACTGAAGATGAGTCACGTTTGACTCAAAGTTAACGCTGTATTTCTCACCACTGACACAACCAGAACTGTTGGAGTTGTCTGGCACTTGCTGTTTTTTTTACAGACCTCCAACATCCATGGTTTTTTGCTTTTATCCAAACAGTAACTCAATTTTTAACTGTTACCCACTGCAGTGTTAGGTGTGTGGGCCTTGGCTGAAGCAGGAAGGCTATAGACACTGTAAACAGGTATTCTAAACACCTCCATAATGGGAGAAATTTAGATGTCGAGTAATTAGTGATAAATCTATATGACCATACAGTACAGACACATAATAATGCACAATATGTTGAATTTTCCCATCTGACTACTCACTCTGCCCCAGTGAACATGTATACAACCTGAATGACAGATTCCCCATCAAGTTCAGTTAATTTCTTTTTCATACTATGTTAGGTTATAGCTAAAATAATAGATGTCTACGTCACGTCAAAAAGTGACTTCATGTTAAATGATTTTCAACTTTGGTCTTAAACACATTATTGCTTTTCATCTAATTCTGAGTCTTGGAGAGCTCTTTAAGGAGTTGACAGATATGGTGGACATGGGAAATACAATGTTTGTGGCATGTATGGATATTCAGAGAGCTCTTGACATGGCACTACAAATTGAAGCAATTATTGATGAAGACTAAAGAGAATAACTCTTTAAGGAATGTTTCAATATGGAGTGAAAGGGTGGCATGGTGGTGAGCGCTGCTGCCTCACAATGCCATGGACCTGGGTATTTTTTCTTTTATTCATTCAAGGGGATGAGAGCATTGCTGGCTTGGCCAGCATTTATTGCCCATCCCTAATTGCCCAGAGGGCAGTTATGAGTCAACTACGTTGCTGTGGGTCTGGAGTCACATATAAGCCAGACCAGTTAAAGATGGCAGTTTCCTTCCCCAAGGATGTTAGTGAACCAGATGGATTTTTCCAACAATTAGCAATGGATTCACGGTCATCATTAGACTCTTAATTCCGGATAGTTATTGAATTCAAATTTCACCATCTGCCAGGGCAGGATTCAAACCCAGGCCCCAAGAGCATTATCTGGGTCTCTAGATTAACAGTCCAGCGATAATACCACTAGGCCAATACCTCCCCATTGAT